TTAATATTTATTTGTATTCCTTAAGATGTACCAATTTATAACTCATTAATAAAAAACAGAGGTATATAATCATGTCATCTGCACAGAAACAATTTGACTGCATTGTCTTAGCCCAAAATCAACTTAAGATGATAAGCAACTTCAGCAATGTGCAAAAATCACAGGCATTCCTATACACTAATAACAGACAAATAGAGTCAAATTATGAATAAACTGCCATTCACAATTCCTACAAGGAGAATAAAATACCTAGGAATACAGACCATTGCTCAAGGAAATAAGAGAGAACACAAACAGATGGAAAAACATTCATGCTCATGGTTGGGAAGAATCAATATCATGAAAATGGCAGTATTGCCCAAAGTAATTTATAGAATCAGTGCTATCCCCATCAAGCTACTATTGACTTTCTTCACAGAATTGGAAAAAAAACACCTTAAACTTCATATGGAACCAGAAAAAAGAGCCCACATAGCCAAGACAATCCTAAGCAAAAAACAAAAAACCAAAGCTGGAGGCATCACACTACCTGACTTGAAACTATACTACAAGGCCACAGTAATCAAAACAGCATGATACAGGTACCAAAACAGAGATATAGACCAATGGAACAGAACAGAGACCTCAGAAATAACACCACACATCTACAACCATCTGACCTTTGACAAACCCGACAAAAACAAGCAATGGGGAAAGGTTCCCTATTTAATAAATGGTGTTGGGAAAACTGGCTAGCCATATGCAGAAAGTGGAAACTGGATCCCTTCCTTACACCTTATACAAAAATTAACTCCAAATGGATTAAAGAGTTAAGACCTAACACCATAAAAACCCTAGAAGAAAACCTAGGCAGTACCATTCAGGACATAGGCATGAGCAAAGACTTCATGACTCAAATATCAAAAGCAATGGCAACAAAAGCCAAAATAGACAAATGGGATCTAATTAAACTTAAGAGCTTCTGCGCAGCAAAAGAGACAGTCATTAGAGTGAACTGGCAACCAACAGAATGGGAAAAAATTTTGCAAGGTACCCATCTGACAAAGGGCTAATATCCAGAATCTACAAAGAACTTAAACAAATTTACAAGAAAAAAAGAGAAAAAAAAAACATCAAAAAATGGGCGAAGGATATTAACAGATACTTCTCAAAAGAAGACATCTATGTAGCCAACAAACATGAAAAAAAGCTCATCATCACTGGTCATTACAGAAATGCAAATCAAAACCACAATGAGATACCATCTCACATTAGTTAGAATGGCGATTATTAAAAAACCAGCAGACAACAGATTCTGAGGAGGATGTGGAGAAATAGGAACACTTTTACTCTGTTGGTGGGAGTGTAAATTAGTTCAACTGTTGTGGAAGACAGTGTGGTGATTCCTCAAGGATCTAGAACTAGAAATACCATTTGACCCAGCAATCCCATTACTAGGTATATATCCAAAAGATTATAAATCATTCTATATAAAGACACATGCACACGTATGTTTATTGTGGCACTGTTCACAATAGCAAAGACTTGGAACCAACCCAAATGCCCACTGACAATGGACTGGATAAAGAAAATGTGGCACATATACACCATGAAATACTATGCAGCCATAAAAAAGGATGAGTTCATGTCCTGTGGAGGGACATGGATAAAGCTGGAAACCATCATTCTCAGCAAACTGACACAGGAACAGAAAACCAAATACCACGTTTTCACTCATAAGTGGGTGTTGAACAATGAGAACACATGGACACAAGGAGAGGAACATCACACTCTGGGGCCTGTCAAGGGGTGGGGGACTAGGGGAGGGATAACATTAGAAGAAATACCTAATGTAGATGATGGGGTGATAGATTCAGCAAACCACCATGTCACATGTATCTATGTAAGAAACCTACACGTTCTGCACATGTACCCCAGAATTTAAAATATAATGGAAAAAAAAAAAAGAAGTAAACCAATATGGGATTTAAATGTTTTCTCTAGCTTAACCATTTGAAGTGAAAAAAAAAAAAAAAAGAAAAAAAGTCATTTTAAAAAGTGTACACTTAGAAATTAATGACCCCACCAGTGCCCAGTGCAGTAGGTAAAATCTGTATCTGCTTATCCAGGTAGATTGACATTCTGGCACCAGTCATAATTTGAAGCTTTATGAATAAATGAATGTCAAAATTGGGTCCTCAATTAAAAAAACTGAGAACTATGTATTCCTAATTTTAGAACTAATTGGGGCCTTAAAAACATTAAGTATTGTCTTTGCTGTGAACTTTCAGAGATGCTAAAATGTCTGAGCTTTTCAGCAAATTCACAAAGGAGCAAGTGTGAGAACAGAGCTTTATTAAATCAGAAATGAAGCTTAAGTACTATATAGGTATGTAGGATCCAGTTTGTTGGGAGGTCTAATTGTGTTATTGATTAATCTGTAATTTTCAACAGTGGGTAGAGGTCCTGGCTGTTTCTGGTCAAAGCCTGGATTTTACTAACTAGGAGTGTCTGTGAAGATACAGAACTAGGAATCATTCACAGGGTCTGACAGAAGAAAGAGAGTGGGATACAAAGTATTCCATGAGAATGTGGCCTCTGGAAGGCCCTCACACCAAGCTATGTTTAAATTTAGTTTCAACATTTGCAACATAAATAGAGAGAAATTTACAGCTGACACAAATATGAGTTGTCTTCATCCATCTTCCTGTAAAGTTGCTTACTCTGGAAAGCATGCCGAAGTGGGGACGTTCCCATAATTGCCTTACATAGACAACGTACATCCTTTGTACATCAAAAGGAAAAAGTAGTGACTCAAGATAGAGGACCCTAGGGAATATGTTTACGGAAACTGCTCTTCACTAATTACACATGCTTGTTTGTTCTTTATTTTAGAATTAAAATAGGAAGACCTCATCACAGAAATCTGGGTCAGCTCAAAACTTTGGTTTTCTCATTAGATGTGGGTCCTTGAGGGTCTGTGATATTAAATAAGCCTGCAATCTTTTGTTTGCCAAATGGTGATAAATCATCTGTGAAGGTGAATCAATCTTTGAAAAGTGACCTTTTTCATACTAATAACAACTATTTTCATATTGCCCAGTCTGAAAATGTTAAAACCTGGTTATTTGTCAGGCGAACTCAGCTAAGACTCAGTCTTTCTCCAAGCCAAAACCTCCTTTCTCAAGCAAGGCTCACTTCAACACCGTACCTTTAGAAGGAATGCAGCTTTACTCCTGGTCCATTTAACTCCATCTAAAACCATTCCCTGTGCTTTAAATAATACATTATGTTAAAGATTGTCACTTGGTTGTAACATTTAAAATATCAGGGTCAAGAAGCTAAGAGTATTACTTTGGCATAAGCCTCTGTGAGGCAGCCGTGGTGGTAGGAGCTGTTTCACAGACTGAGGCTCCCCTGCCTGTGGTTGTGGGAAGACACCCTGTGCATTCCTGCAAGTTATTTGTGGCTCTCTGAGGAACTCATTTAACACTGTTCTGTAGCACACAATTTTAGGAAGTAGAGTTGGAATTTTCTAGTCCTCGTTAGAATGTGTACTTCAATCCAGACGTGTTGTACAACACAAAAAGTCCCATGGTAAAGAACAAGCTCGTAGAAAGAACACTGAGGAATGATGCTTGGAATGTGCCACTGTTTTGTCATCCCTGATACACTGATCTGGAGTGAACTGCGTAGCAGCATAACTAACCGAAGAAATTTCAGCCAGGGCGCCAAAGCCTGACAAGCATAGTAAATCTTCTTAAGCAGGATATTCGGAAAGAGAGTTTTCAAGTTAATTGAATTTTATGATTAACAGAAGGTTATCTGGAAGACTATATTCATTTCACCTCATGTTGATGGAAGTCTTTCTAAAAGGGTTAAGTCTACTTTCCATTTTTAGTATAATTATAAATGTGATTTAATTCTTAAGATGAAGATTTCACTGCCTCCATAGCATTATCTTGATCATACAAGGTTATTCTATATTTCCTAAAATACGGCTGTGGCTGTTCAAGGTTAATTCATTGGGCTAGAAGTATACAGACTGCAGAACTGCTTCAGAGTTATTAGCCTAAGGGGGGATAAATCCCTAATATGAAATTTTATGATTTTCTTTTTCTGAAAACAGATTGTGGAAAAATTCCATCCGATTGAAGGTTACGAATTCTCTGGATGTGACTGTTACGAGTTTCAATGATGAAAAATGTGCCAGCAAAAGGGAAATTTTATTCCTAAGTCCTGAATTTTAGTTCTGCTCCACTCTGGGTCTTAAAATGAGATTCAGGATGTTACAGAGACCCTGTGTGGTCCAGGTCTCCCAACTCTGAAATGCAAAATATATCTCTTGGAATGAAAAGCATGCAATTTTTCTTTCTTTAATTGGAATGTACTGTATAATTGCACTTAGAATCCGTTTTCCCATTTTCTTTTATGGGAGTATTTTATCCCACCGTGCATATCCATGTGTACATTTGTATATACAGGTATGTCTATAAAACTAGATTTGCATTTTTGATACTGTCTACAATATAAACAACTATACAGAACTCATTTGAGATGATAATATTTTAGGGGGGAGGAGAGGCCTCTACTAGTGTCTGTTCCAATAGCTTTTCACTCAGACTATAAATTAGGCCCAGGGAGGGCCAATAATGAGCCAGTAATTTATAGACTATTAAGATACTTGTTAGAACCGATTCCTGAGCATGTCGAATAAAGAACACAGATTCAATATATCTCTTTGGCCTAACCAAGCCCAACCAGTTCACAAAATGGGATGTCTTATTTTGTGTATCTTCTACTTCTCAAAAATAGAATCACTAACCACTTGTTAACCACACTGACTTTTTAATAGACAGAATGGTTGCTACAGTTTTGCCACCAGAAATGTTCAGATTAAGCATTCTATTAGATCGTAGCCAGAGTCTACAAAACAGGAAGGCGGCTCTGCTTGCTTTTTGCCTCCTTTCCTTGTTTGAATTGATGTGATAATTCATTGCAGATTTCTTTTTCTTTGATAGAATGCCTACCGCAGGAATGGGATGGCCTTTCTAGCCTGCTGATGTGACAACTGTGATGTGCCTGAAGCAACAGGAAAGGCGATGTTATATTAAGGTGATTTCTTGAAAACAAAATAAAATACAAATTTACCTTTCTCCCAACCAAGGGAGTGGGCTGGTTTGTTGTGACTATCAGCTTGCTGACTCCTGCTCTTTTCCAGCCCCCTCAACCATCGGTCTTGTTTACTAGATGTGCTGTTCAGCTAATTAATGGCAGGATGTTTGGGATAGGGCGTAGGTGGACAAGAATGCAGATCACACGATTCTGAAATTTTAATTTCAGTGGATTTACTGCCCACCGCTCACATATCTTAAAAGTAGTGGTTGTCCCCCCCCTCCAGTGTTTTGTCTGTGTTTTATTTGCTACATTTTATGATTTAAGTTTAGAACAAGGAAACAAAAGGACAGTGAGTTTTCACCTTCCCTTATACCACCAACTTTACTTTCCAACATTTGTTGACTACATGTATTTTAGTGACAGCTGTTTTTTAAACTCACAGTAATCAAATATCTAACAGACCTGATAAATCACCTGTTCCTATCCCCTCTCCCCTTCACTCCACTTACAGTATGAGTCATTTTGAATGCCTTCTTCCCAACTTCCTGCCATCTGCCTTTTATTTGTGTTTTTCCTCACACAGAACGTCTTACTCCATCTTTGTTTCCCTCCTTTTCCTGTTCCTCCAATCCCCAGACCTACTACTCCTGCACATTTCATGCACATTTCAAAGCTAAGTATTCAGAATTAGTAGAAGGGGAACAGAGTAATTTCTTGCTTCCCCCTTCAAAGCACCACCACACCTAGACTGGAAATGTGGGCTTGGTAATTTCTTGCTGTTAGCAGCTGAGCTACTCTTCTGGCTTCTATACTTTCTCCAGTAAATGAGGAACCGTAATTCTTTGGAACCAACCAAAATATAGCAGATGTAATCGTACAGTTCCTGATTAATTTTACTTTTATCATGGTTTTTACATACTTGAAACAGTCTTTGTAAAGAATTAATAAAAACAAAAGAAAAATGTGAAAGATTATGCCACATTATTTACATTTGTTAATTGTCATTTACCTGTTCTGTGTTAATCTTTTTAGAAAATATTTGCATGTCAGAAACAAAAAGCACAAATAATATCAAAACATTTCCAAAGGGTTTTGATGTTCCATCTATCCTTGTTAAAATGTATGAATAAACTTTTCTTTTTATCATTCTTATTTTCCTTGGCAGCCATAAGCATGGAAAATTATAAGCTTACAGTAAACATCCTAACTTTAAAATGATAGCATTTATTGTATTTGGTTTTGATCTGCCAGACTTATACATGGTATAAAATTTTCAGGGGCTGATTGTTCACATCAAAATTTCTTCTCTCCCACATTATACATTTTAAAGTATGCACGAGGCAGAAAATATAGGGTTTGGGTTTTTTCCTTCATTTTATTCTACCTGATCTCCTTACAGTCCCAGAGAAGGAAGACTCAACGTACATTTCTCTCAGAAATATGACAGGTCTGTGTTTTTGTTGGTCTGGCTTATGTTTGTCTATCTTGAACAGTCTGACAGGTAATTATTTATAAAATCTGGTTTTGTCCAGTAAGTTCATATAATAACCTTTCATTTTTCATCATAAGCCAGTAAGCTGAATTTAGAATAAAGCAAGGTTATTTATGTCTGTTCTGAACCAGCCTACATGTCCCCATAATTGCTCAATATTTTTAATTCTTTTTTCTATTTTTTACATTTAGGTTCTTTCTGTGACTCTTTGCACAGTCCTAAATTTGAAGTGAAATAAAATTTCCTTCACCAGTGACTATAGAAATAAAAGAAAACTTACAGAAGGAACATTTAGGAAAATGTGCTTCAGTAAATGGTTTTCTCAATAATCATAGTGTTAAAGCAGAAGATAGTCTTAGAGATCATAGAGAACAGCTGCTTATCTTACAGATGAAAAAACATGGCCTAGACAGGGAAAGTGACTTTCCTAAGATCGCTTAATAATGGCAGTGACAGACCAGAGATGAGAGTCGATGGTCCCTGACTTTGTCTGCTGTTATACAGTATTTTCTGCTATGCTGGGTTATCATAAGACAACTACTAAGACATGTTGGGGTTTGATGGCATATTTATCCTAGACAACAAAGTAAATTTATAGAAAACTGCACTAATTATGAATACCTCCTAAAGCTTAAGTGTTGTATAGTAAAATCTCAATGGGACTGTGGTATTAAGTAAACAATCTGTTATCTTACACATCAGGCTCTACTATAATTCAAATGGGAATATACAAAGCTAGTTTCATATTTTTCTCCCTTGCATTTTAGAGACTGAATTTGAAAATAAGTAAGCCAATAAATAGCCTCTCTTGATACTGCTTCCTACATTTAAGGATAAGGAAAGTAGAAATATTTCTCCCTTCACCTAAATTTGATAGTGTGACTTTCTGAACATGCCATTTAGAGGTGATGTCATTAGCTTTCCTGCCTTCTTATATTGTAATAGTTGTGATTCAAAAATGCTGTTTCAATTTTAAAACCAAGACTTTTTATCTGAAAACCACTGGAAGCACAAATATATTTTAAATAGTTATATAATTCCTGTGTCTGAGGAGAAACCTTCATTTATTGCTGTTCTTTGTTTTTATAAAATAATAAACAAACCATGTCTAATGCTTTTACCATGTAGAAGACAAATAAAAAAAACCGCGTTTACTTGTTTAGAATTATAAAGTTTAATTTTATGAATTTTTTTACATAGTTCTCAAATCAAGCATTGCTTTCCAGTTCATATAACCTCTTGTGTAAAACTGAATCACTAAAGAGAACATATTCTCTCATCTGCCCCCTGGAATTTGGATAGAACCTTCCCAAGCTACATTTAAAATTCTACCATCAACCATGTATACATCTCATAAAATACTTTACAGTTTCCTGTATGCTCTGGCCGAACATTTCATAGTACATAAACACTTCTGCAAATAATCTAAGGGCATCAAGTTGAATATGTCATAGCTACGGACACTACATAAAGCTAATTCACCAGCAGCATATTTTCTTATTTTTATCTTCTTATTTGAAATTCAAGCTGAAACTTTATGTGCTATTGTTGTGCAGTGGCAGGGGTGAGAAGAGAGCAGGGAACTCCAGCAGTTTTTGTGGAATTGTGTTCATTAAAGCAAAGGCTTTCTGCAGAGGGCATCTAGCCAAGCTGAAACAACAAAACCATGCCTGCAGGAATTGGATGTAAATGTGATGGTTAAATAAGGGCCAGATGTCATTAAAAACTCTAATATTAGAAATTCATATCTCTTAAAGTAAGTCTCAAGTGTTGGAAGTCAGATACTGATACCATAGTACCTAAAGAAAGAGACTTGCATTTGTTTTCCAAAGCAAAATATTAAGTATTCGAGCTGTTATTAAGTCATGGAAGTTTTGGCAATTGAAGCATATTTTAAAGCAATCAGTTCCTACAAAGCCACAAGAACGCCGAATACATGTGTCCTTGTTGGGAGCCACTGTAATTCACTACACAGCATGGGGTCCATGATCTCTTTTCTGCTCATCACCACCCAATATTCATTATTCTCATTTTTTTTCAAAGGAGAGTAAAGATAGGAAAAAAAAAAAAAAAAGGCAAGGCTCAAGATGATCAAAATATAGTTTTACTTACACCAGGTAATTGTCTACTTGCTATCAAAAATGATATATTGTGTCAGCATATTAATAAGTTATGACATAATTATAGCACACCATGTGCTACCCTGTGTACTAAGCAGTTTGTGTGATTTATCTCGTTTAATACTCACAGCCCCACTATGAGATATGCCTTCTTGCCCACGGGCAAAAATAGGAAACTGAGGAACAGCAGATTAAGTGTCATATACAGAATTACCCAAGGTACAGCTGGCATTTGTATGAGCACTCTGATCCCAAAGCTCATGCTGTTAACCACTGTTACACCACATGGACTGTACTGGAATAGAGATTTCTGATCACATATTAACGGGAATTGCAGCCTGACCTGGAACCTAGAAGCACTTCTCAGAACCAGAAAATCTGATTGCAAGAAAATTTTATTTTGACTTAACATTCCTTCTCTAATGCCAAGTATTATGTATGTAATAGAATATATAACATATAATAGAATATAATTATATATTATTATGCCAAATTTTTAGTGTCTTAAATCTTAGGACAAATATATATATGTATATATAATCAATGAATATACTAAAAGTCCCTATACAAATTATGAGAAAAACTTCATCAAAGATCCATGTAGACAAAGCTGTTCTCCTTTCTGAAGACCAGATTTCCCCAGAAGGCTCTATTTACACAGGCTACTATTTCATGCTTTCATACAAGGTATTTATCCCTATTATAAAATAATTCCCATCTTTTTTTACATGTGTTAGCAGCAGCAGATACAGAAGTACATGTGGCAATGCCCTGAAACTTTATATTAATGACCCTTTTAAGGGTTTGCTCATTAATTGATTAATTATATAGTAGTCATAGGTCTTCCCAGCCTGTCATAGCTTCAAACAGCTATTCCAAATAGCTTCAGACAGTTTGTGTGTGAAGGGGGTCTGGGGAGAAGTGGTGTGTGGAGATAAATAAGAAAGTGGAAAAAAAGTTACTGAGCACAATTTGAATTACAAAGGATAGTTTTCCATTCGACTTAGTAGTTAGCAGGAGCTTTTTTTATACGCAGACAGAGTCAGGGTGTCTCTTTGTTGCCCAGGCTGATCCCAAACTCCTGGACTCAAGTGATCTTCCCATCTTGGCCTTCCAAAAGGCTGGGATTACAGGCACGAGCCACCGCGCCCAGCCAGCAGCTTCTTTAATTCAGTGCTAGGTTTGTTCTGCCTCAGAACAAGCCACCTTCTGATTGATGTCCTTTAAGATTCCAAATAACTGCCCCAGACTGGGGTACAACTTTCTCTTCTGAATTTTTTTAAGATGGGGTCTCCCTATGTTACTTAGGCTGGTCCCCAACTCCTGGGTTCAAGCAATCCTCCCACCCAACCTCCTGATTAGCTGGGATTACAGGCACAAGCCACCGCACCCAGCTATTTCTGAATGGTTTTGATTGTGTCCTCCCACTACATCACTTGGGAGAAGTTAGTTCCCTGCCAATGCATTGGCCACTTCTTGTCACCCTTCCCTGACCTCAACGTACCAATCAGTCAAGCAAACAGACATAAAGCAGCAACTACTGCAGCTGATGGGTCGGCTTGCCGTACTTCCACAGGTTTGGCCTGTAGGGAGGACAGTGAGCCCAAATAGCTTCAGACAGTTTGTTACACAGCTACCTAAGCAAGATTGGCACAGTGTCAGCTTCTCATGTTCCTAATCTCACAGGAAGATGCCAAGCCAGAGGGGCTAGTTGACAGAAGACCTGAGTGAGTAGGGAGTTACCATGTCATGGAGGAGCCAACTCTAAACCACAGCCAAGCAGTTTCATAACTTGCGTTCACATCCCAGAGGGGATTGAGGTGGAAAGAGCCTTGCCCTACCAGAACTAGGGAGGCAGATGGGAAACTAGCTGTGGCAGCTCCTCATAAGAGTGGCTGTTTTGCTGCGTTCCTGTGATGATCACAGATGAAGGTCCATGGCCTGCGTGTGGCCTGCGTGCCTATGTGGAGATGAGGTCTCCTGGGAGCCCTTCCACGGCAATGCATAGAATGTTGTGTGTTTTTGTTAGCAGCATGCAAAATCAATCTGCCTCTTCTTCCCTAGGTTGTCATGGTGGTCTCCTTCCCTAGCTCTTTGCCATAAAGTTTCCTGCCTGTCTCAGCTCACAGCACCCTTTGCCTCCTCTGAACTCTTTAAGATCTTTTGTTCTCTCTGCTTCCTATTTAGTGTCCCTGATCATCTCTCCATGTGCCTTTAGACTGTACCAGATTGAGAATTTCTTGAGGGCAAGTCTTGAATTAACACCTCTTTGTCATTCTCACATACACAGATACTCATAAACATTTGTGGTTTGGTTGATAGAAAAAAAAAATGCATTTTTTTTTTTGAAACAGAGTCTGACTCTATTGCCCAGGCTAAAGTGCAGTGGCACGATCTCAGCTCACTGCAGCCTCCACCTCCCAGGTTCAAGTGATTCTCCTGCCTCAGCCTCCAGAGTAGCTGGGATTACAGGCATGCACCACCACACCCAGCTAATTTTTGTGTTTTTAGTAGAGATGGGTTTCACCATGTTGGCCAGGTCTTAAATTCGTCACCTCAAGTAGTCCGCCCACCTCAACCTCTCAAAGTACTGGAATTATAGGTGTGAGCCACCGTGCCCAGCCAAAAAAAAATGGATTTAAACATGAGCTCAGAATCCTTTTTAAAAAATCTTTGGTTAATCTTATCAATTCTTATTTCACTGATTTGGCTACACAGCTCATGAACTTTAGATCATCATAAGATCTTTTTTCTTAAATATAGTGTCTCAGGAAAACCAATTTAAAGCACTGCATGCATCAGGTTTCTTGTGGCCTTTGTGAGTAGGTCCCTGTGACGTCAGTCTTGTGTGAAGGGGTTAAGGACCTCATAAACAGATGACCTGAATCATATTTGCATTACTCTGTACTACTAAGACCTAAGAACCTTTGTGTTCCATCTGAATCTATACAATCTTGAAAAAGAATTACAAACTAGTAGGACTATTTTTGTATATGGTCCATCTTTGAAAACCTACCAGTTCTCCCACTGGTTCACTGTAAAGACAATGAGCCTTTTAAGATCCAATTTCCCTAAAGGTAATGGAATAACATGTCCACTGAACTTAAAGCAAATATAAAGATCTATTTAGACTAAAAATAACATTTTGTGAACTGGAAGCAGTAGCTTATCACCAAAGAGTAGCTTGAAATTAAAATGTCTGTTTTCTTTATAGCCATTCCTTCAAAAATCTTTTTGGCACCTATGAAAACCAAGCAATCCACATGGTAGTCTGCAGGCCCCAAACAGTGAGCCAAGGACTTGAGGGGGACCGCGGAATTAAGGGGGTTCATGAACCCACCTAGATTAAACTATCTGGAGATTCACTGAAGCGTATTTTGCCCATGTAGGTGCTACTCTATTAATAAATATATACATAAGTGCCATTGTGATTATAAAATGTAAAATCACTTTAAAGTGATACTCAAATCTTGCTAGCTTTTTGACATTACCTTTTTAAAAACTTAATAGATAGCAAAAGCCAAGTTGTAGAATGCAGGGGTCAGTGAATTTATGTTAAAAAGTGATTCTCAAGCTCCAAAAAAAAAAAAAAAAGGTAATGGTTGCTTTCTGTACTTTATGGTAATTGCTGTTGTCTCCTTAGCTCTTCAACGGTGAGTAGATTGTGCCTTCTGAAGGTTTCAGGCAGCTTTAACACAGATTTAAGGTTTTTTTCCTCCCTTTGACATAAAGTATCACTGGAACTTTTTTCATGTGTCTTATTTTGGGAAAATTTATGATATTTTTAACATTAGGAAGTTTTGCTTTTCCTGACATTTTATTGCTTTGCCTATTTGAAGCATTTCAATCCCAGACAATAAATATTAAGTGATTATTGTTTTCATATGGATAGGCTATTTCCTCCTGCTCTTTCTAACCCCCTTTCCCAGCTAATGATACTAAAAATGTATTAATACTAAACTGTGCTATTCAGCATTCCCAAAATCACATATAATGAAAATTGAAAGAGGGGCAGGTTTGAGAGAGGGGGTAGTAGCAGTTAAAAATAAAGTGAGGTATGTGGTTTCCTTTCAGTTGGATCTCAGATTTTTCTTGCTTAGTTGAAACGAAGATTATATTTATTCTGTAAATCATTTTTATCAGCAGTCATAAGCAATTACCACATGAATGGTATATCTGAATATCATTTCAGTGGAAGCTAAACAGTTCTCAACAAAGTAGATGGATGTTAGCCAAGCACACTATGAGTACTCACTGTTTAGAAGCATCCACCGTAAAAAGCTGTCCTCATGGCTACCTTACCTTCAAGTCATACATGAAATATTCTGTTACTTTCTCAGAGCAGGTACAATGGCTCACGCCTGCAATCCCAGAACTTTAGATGGCCAAAGTGGGAGCGTCACTTGAGGCCCAAAATTGGAGACCAGCCTGGGCAACAGAGCAAGACCCTGTCTCTACAAAAAATTTAAGAACTAGCCAGGCACAGTGGCACACTCCTGTAGTCCTAGCTAATGGGGAGGCTGGAGTGGGACAATCACTTGAGCCCTGGAGTTGAAGGCAACAGTGAGTTAGGATCGTGCCATTGCACCCCAGCCCGAGTAACACAGCCAGACCCTGTCTCAAAAAAACATCAATTCTCTTTCTCTATAAGGCCTTCTCTGACCACCCTTTTAAATGAGACCCCAAGCCCTGCCCTAGCACATCATATCCCTTTCCTTGCTTTCTCGTTCACTCCAACACTTACTGTCTTCTAACATACCATTTCACAGAGCCATTTGTTACTGTGTTCTCCCTCTAGAATGTAGACTCTGTGATTAAGGCTATGGTCTGTTTTATCTACTGCTATATCCCAGCACTTAGAACAGTGCCTGACACATAATACATGTTCAATCAGTATTTATTACATGAATGAATGATTGATCAGTACTTAATTCTG